GACCGACCGGTAGCTGTCTGGAGTTGCCAGCTTCCAGATTGCAATAGCCACCCGCTTCTCCACTGGCAGGGCAGCTCTCAATCTCGTGTCCTTGCGCCGCAGGGTGGGGGCAAGCTCCTCACACAGTCCCATGAAAGTGGCTTTTCTCATCCGAAAGTTCTGCAGCCACTGCTCGTCATCCCAGACTTCCATGACGATGTGATCCCACCACTCGGTGCTTGTTTCCCGAACCCAAAAGCGGCGTTCCACGGTGCTGAGCATGTCCGTGAATGCCACAAGCAATTTTGTGTCATACGCATTACGCGTCTCGATAGCATCGTCGGAATCCTCACCCTCACTCTCACTGTCACTTTGGATCTTCAGGAATAGTTCAATAGCCAAACGTGACGTGCTGGCGAGACTCGTCAGCATACGCCTCAGCAGTTCGGACTCCATTTCCCGCAGACAGATCGCGCTGCACAGAAACCGTTGAAAGATGGCGCCAAAGATGGACAGAAACAAAGGGATTTCTGGGATGCGAAGCGATGCATCACGGGGCATTGGGACAGGACCCAGAATCCCCCGCACCCACGCCCCCTTCCCACAACCCATGGCCCCAGAATGGGAAAAGGTGGTCTGTGGGATAGCTGCCCATAATGCACCGCTCCCAATAGCGCTGCAATTGCCGCAAATGTGGCCACGACAGTGCGCTGTGCAGCTGTCAGTGTTGACAGGCTGCAGCGCTCTCCCTACTCAGCTGCACGACGTCAGGTTTAATCACAGCGCTGTACATCTACAAGTGTAGCCAAGGCCTAGAAATTGCATCACTTGTGATAAATTCGTGAGAGTTGGCAGGTCAGCTACCTGCAAGTGAGCTACTGTGATCCCGTTTTCAGCTTCTCCTCCAGCCTGTGCATGCATTGCAGGTGTGGTGGAGCAGAGCAGCCTGGGTCCAGAACAGCTCCTTAACCCCTTCCAATCCAGTGTGGTTTACTTTTTAGAGTTCAGAATGATAACACACAAGAATCCAAAATAGAGACCAAGCAGCTCCTCCTCTGGCAGAGAAGCACAACACACCTCTTCTTGCTGCAGGTTGGCTCTTTCCAGACTGATGCAGATCATACACTTCCCTACAGAGCTCCTAGCCTGCAAGCAGAACCCGGAACCCCCCTGAGAATTTAAAATGATAGATCACAATTTTAACACAGTTTTCAATACACTACAACCACTTAGCCCAAAAGCTTTTCTCAGGGTCAAACTGATTTTTTTTTTTTGGCCATCTTGGCTTCCTTGCTGCTTTCTCCATGTTCTTCTCTGGTGTTTCTGCTGCAGTACAGATGGACAACCTCAGTCCAATCACTCCCCGACCCCTGCTTTTCTTATCACCTCCCCACCCCCGTGAAACTTCTTAGACTGCAAGACCCAGCCACTGCCTGAGCTTGCATAGGATGTGGTTGTTGGGCAGTGGTTTTCCATTATTTCAGCTATCATAAAGCAAAGAAGCATTTAATTGCTTCCTCCTTTAGCCTGAATGGAAGGCAGCTGTCACACCCAACAACTTCAGCAAGGTGTGATTGCCCAGCTCCCAGTGCAACAATGTGCAGCCAGACCTGGCATGTTGGGGATACTCAGCAAAATTATTGTTGTACAAAGAGCAAAAGTCCCAACAGTTCAGGTGGCCAAATTCCTTTATGGGACAAAGCAGGAACAGCACACGACACAGGAAGGAGACACATTCCCTTGAACAGCGAGGAACCAAACCAAGAAAGGAGGTGACACATCCATGCATAAAGAACGAGGAGTACTTTAGAGACTAACCAATTTATTTGGGCATAAGCTTTTGTGGGCTAGAGCCCACTTCATCAGATGCATAGAGTGGAACATAGAGTAGGAAGATATATAAATATACAGAGAACATGAAAAGGTGGAAGTTGCCATAGCAACTTTAAGTGGCTTAATCAATTAAGGTGAGCTATTATAAGCAGAAGAAAAAAAAACATTTTGTAGTGATAATCAGGATGGGGCATTTCAAGCAGTTGGCAAGAAGGTGTGAATAACAGCAGGGGGATACTTAACATGGTGAAATAGATTCAATTTGTGTAATGACCCAGCCACTCCCAGTTTTTATTCAAGCCTTATTTAATGGTATCCAGTTTGCAAATTAATTCCAGTTCAGCAGTTTCTCGTTGGAGTCTGTTTTTGAAGTTTTTTTGTTGAAAAAATGCCACTTTTAAGTCTGTTACTGAGTGACCAGAAAGATTGACGTGTTCTCCTACTGGTTTTTGAATGTTATGATTCCTGATGTCAGATTTGTGTCCATTTATTCTTTTGTGTAGAGACTATCTGGTTTGGCCAATGTACATGGCAGAGGGGCATTGCTGGCACATGATGGCATATATCTGTCGGAGAAAAACGAGTCCTCACTCTGAGTTTGAAGCAACACGCCAGAGGCAGCTTTATTTTCCTGACACTTGCAAGGGGAGAGTACTCACGGGCCGGGGTTCCCCTCCCGAGGCAGGTCTCTGTTAGATAAACAATTAAGGCAAGCATTTATACCTTTTGTCACATACAGTAATGATCAACAGCTGCTTTTGTTTATACATATTCCTTCCTGATATTTCACTTTTTCTCATTAATTTCTGCCTCAGTCTACATTCCATTCTTATCTAACACAAGGTCAAAACAGTATCTCTTACAGTCTGTTCCCACTCGCCTAGGCCTTCAAGTCTGCGTTATTAAATAGAAGAGTTAGCCTGACTCTTGCTCTTCCTGGAAGACTAAGATGTCTGCGCTTTTCCCAACTTCCACATATCACATTGGTAGATGTCAGGGGTGAAAGTAACTATAGACACTTACCGGTACGGGGCCAGGCTGGGGCTGGCTCTGGCCCCTGGAAGGGGTGGGCCTCGGGCGGAAGGGGCAGGGCTGGGGGGTCAAAGCCGGCCCCGGCCCGCCCCCTACCGGTAAGTGCCTGTAGTTGGGGAAGCTGTTCCCTTTCCCCCCGCCCTCGCCGTTGGCTGCCGATGGGGGGGAGGGAGGTACAGCAACATTAAAGCGCTGCCGCAGCAAAGGACCATGGCAGCACTTTAACGTCCCTGCTCCTTTTGCCTCCCCTGTTGAGGGCCCTGTTGGTACAGACCCTACCGGTGAATACAGCCGGTACAGGTTCTTACTGTTACGACGTACCGGCCCACTTTCAACCCTGGTAGATGCGCAGGTGAACAAGCCCCTGATGGTGTGGCTGATGTGATTAGGTCCTATGATGGTGTCACTTGAATAGATATGTGGACAGAGTTGGCACCGGGCTTTGTTGCAAAGGTAGGTTCCTGGGTTAGTGTTTTTGTTGTGTGGTGTGTGGTTGCTGGTGAGTATTTGCTTCAGGACATCCATGCATGTTTTTCTTCTGTTCATTCAGTCCTTCTCTGCCCCAGAAGCAAATGAACCATGCCAGGAGGGGAGGAAAGCCTACGGCCCATGCACTATCCACTCCCAGGACCTCAGCACCACTCTGCTAATCCTGGCCCAGGAACACTGGTGCATCAGGGTGAAAATGCCTGCTCCTGGAGGAGCAAAAATGCCCCACAATCAGCCAAGCAGGCATGGGAAATAAGACACAGGAGACTGTAAACCCTTTGGGGCAAGGACCATCCCTTCCTTTGTATCTGCAAAGCACCTATATTATTGGGGAGACTATGAAGCCACAGCCTCTCTGAGCCTTGTCCCTGGGCTAGCTCAGTGGTTTGAGCATTGGCCTGCTAAACCCAGGGTTGTGAGTTCAATCCTTGAGGGGGCCATTTAGGGAGCTAGGGCAAAAATCTGCCTGGGGATTGGTCCTGCTTTGAGCAGGGGGTTGGACTAGATGACCCCCTGAGGTCCCTTCTAACCCTGACATTCTATGATTTCCTCCCCACCAGGGTAGGGTCCTGCACCTGGTAAGGTACCCTTCCCAAGGTCAGGGCGTAGTGCCCGTCGCCAGCTCTGGCGACGGGTCATGACCAGGGCGTTCTGGGGGTTGCTTGGCCAGTCCTCTAGGTCCCCCCCCCCATCAACACCTAAATGGGCAAATGGTGGTGCACCCCCACATCTTTGGGGACCTCCTTGGCCCCCCATTTCAGATGTACCCTCGCCACGGGCACCTTGAATGGTATCCCTCCCACCCCCGTCAGGGTCAGGTAGGTGTTGGGCACCACCCGATCTGGGGCCACCACCTCGGGCAGGGCCAGCGTCACCTCAGCGCCTGTATCCCAATATCCATTGACCTTCCTCCCATCCACCTCCAGGGGAACAAGACACTCGCTCCGCAGGGACAGCCCCGCGCCCACCCTGTAAACTGAGAATTTTGAGTCCGGAGCATCCAGCTCTCCAGAGGAGCTGGCCTGGGGCACTCCTCCCTCCTGAGCAGTTGCTAAGCTGCCAGCCCCCCTTGCCTGGGAAGCCTGCCCCTCATCCGGATGGGTTCCTACCCAGTTAACCCTGAGTGGATTCGGTCAGCTCAGTCTGTCCTTGAGCTTGGGGCACTGGGTCAGTATGTGGCCTCTCTGGCCACAGTAATAGCAGCTCATGTTCCGTTGGTCCCCTCGAGCTGGTTGGTTGGTCCTGACGCCAGATGTTTCCCTTGGGAGGGGGTTCTCCATATTCCCCCATTGGGAGGTCCCAGGGTGACTCTCTCTCTGCATTATGGTGGGCCTGTTCCTTTGGGACTCCTCCCTGCCACCCCCTGACCAGCTCTTCACTAACGCGTTGGCCAGCTGCCCTGCGTGTCGCAGGTTCTCTGACATTTTGTCCACCAACCATAGCCTCAGGTCGGATGGGCACTGCTCATACAGTTGCTCCAATACGATCAGGTTAACCAGACCTCCTTCATCTCGGTCCTATCTGCCCACTTGTGGAAATATCCCTGCATTCAGATGGCCAGTTGTAGATATGAGACTTCAGGGGTTTTACGCTGACTCCGGAACCTTTCCCAGTACATCTTGGGAGTTAGCACAAACTCGTGTAGCAGGGCCTTTTTGAATAGTTCGTAGTCCCCTGCGTTCACCCCTTCCATTCGGCTGTACATCACCACGGCTTTGGGGTCCAGTAAGAGGGTGAGAAAACAGAGCATGTCTGCCAGGTCAACCCTGTGCAGCTCACAGGCATTCTCAAAAGCATTCAGGAGATCATCTATGTCCTCCCCTTCCTTACGCTGGGCTACGATGTACTTATCAAAGCGCCATGCAGTCCTGGGTCCCCCATCACTCACCATAGCCGGGGGCTCGCTGCTCCTCAGCCTTGCCAAATCCAGCTCATGCTAACACTGCTTTTCGCGATCTTCTAGCTCTTTCAGTTTTAGCTCGCTCTCCCATTCCAGCCGCCTCAGCTCCAGGGATGGGGAGCTCCACCGGGAGGATCCCCTCCTGGCTGCAGGGGTCAGGGTGCCCCCTGCAGCCGTTTGGCATAGGTAGGAGGGGTCTTGGGATGCCCTCAGCAGCCGTTTGACCACTCCCAGCTGGGACAGACATTGGTGCCCGCCTTGCATCTGCCAGGCTGCTTCCCTCAGAGACAGGGATCGGTTCATCCGAGCGATCCTCCTTCTCCAGCTGTGCAATCAGCTGTTCTTTCGTGAGCTTCCCAATTCACAGCCTCCTCTGCCTGCACAGCTCCACCAGGTCGCTCTTAAGGTGCTTAGTATACATCTTCCTGCTGGCCACTCGCCGGCCTGTGTGCTTGCAGCTCCCCACGGTTTCCAGGAGGAACCCCTATTGTGCCAGCCCTTCTCCAGGTCACCACCTCTCTCCCAGGGTCAAGCCGCAGACTCCTCCGCCTCTGAGACTGCTCACCGCAGTCCCCAGGGAGACCCTATTACCGCAACAGTCCTTCTCGCTGGTCACACACTTCCAGGGGTTAAGCATAGCTCTTCCACCCCCCGAAACCGCTCCTCTCTGAATCTTCAGCACACCTGGTCCCCGGTAATTCCTCTCCGTTATACTGATTCCCAGTCACTTACTGCAGGAAGAACCGCCCACCGGGTGCAGTAGATCCCACCGCTAGCACCAGTTGTGAGGGTGTATGGGGAAGTCAGGGCCCTACACCCCCACTTCCTGCGAGTCATTGTGACTCTCAGCCAGCCAGTAAAATGGAAGGTTTATTAGATGACAGGAACACAGTCCCAAACAAAGCTTGTAGGTACAAACAGGACCCCTCAGATAGGTCCCTCTAGGGGGGCAAGGAGCTTAGCCCCCGCCCTGGGGTTCCATCCGTTTCCACAGTCAGCTCCAACCCTCCCCCCCCCTGCAAAAAACCCTTGCAGCCATCTCACCCAGCCTTCCCCGGCTCCTCCTCCAGCCTTTGTCCAGTTTCCCAGGCAGAAGATGTCACCTGGACCCAACCTCCCTCTTGGCTCAGGTTACAGGCTCAGGTGTCATCCCTCCAGTGAAGTCACCCCCATGCTATCCCATCACCAATGCAGACAGTCCCAGTAAAACTCTCCTGCAACATTCCCAGGCAATCCACCCCACTCCCTACTGCATCACAACATACACCAGCCTTTGTAAACCCGAGCAGATTACCAAACACTTCAGGCAAACTCACTGGTAAAGATAAACAATAAAACAAGTTTATTGATTATAAAAGATAGATGTAAGTGATTATACGTTATAGACAAAAAGTCAGAGTTAGTTACCAAATATATATATATGTGTATGTGTGTGTATAAACACGCAGCCTAAACTCTCAACCTTATTGGACTGCGCAACATCTAGATTAAACAGTTTTTCTCACCCCACTGGATATTGCAGTTCATAATACACAGGTTTTACCCTTGAAACCTGGGCCAGTCTCCTCTGTTTGAGTCTTCAGTCTTCTTGGTGTCCTTGTTGCTTGCAGCATGGGGGGCCGGAGGGGAGGAGAAAAGGCCAAGCATGGGGCCCCTGTGTTCTGTTTTATACCCTTAGTCCATGTACTTGGGGAACACAAGTCCAGGCATGTCTGGTGGGCTTTGCTGAGTCACCAGGCAAGGTTGAGTAATTCCCCTGGTGTGGCCTTGTGCAAGTGAGTCACTGCATTGCAACTCTCTTGCTGGACAATGACTGTTAATGGTTGTTTGACACCCACCCGGGTGTGGGTTAGTTCCCTTGTCTTTGTCTCTGGAGAGCTAGTATCTGGGCGCTTCCCAAACCCACAGCATATTTTAGTGAAAACCATACAGCACAATTCTTATAGTTGTATATGCGTTAATGACACACATATTCAGATGGAACAGTGGGTTTCAGCAGATCATAACCTTTGCCCGATACCTCACATGGCCTGCTTTATATGAACTATCACAATTATATACAAATGATGAATATGGGGGTTACAGGGTGCTCCCCTGGGGTGTAGAGTGTCACAGTGTAAATAGGGGATTGTGGGGTGCAGGTGTGTAGATCAGAGAGTGAGTGTATACATGCATGTACGTGTGAGTGGATGTGCATGGTTATGAGTGTGCATGGGCCTATGTGTGAAGAGGGAGTTGTGTCTGTGTGTGTAAATGACTGTGTGGCTGTGTATAGTTGTGGAAGTGTAAGGGATAGTGGTTGCAGTTATGTGTATCACTGAGCCCATGTGCGTGTGTGTGCACAGCTGTAGGAGGCTGTGCTCCAGCAGACATGTGCCAGGGGATGGGTCCAGGGGCAGAGAGGAGACTCGTGCCAGATGAACCGGCGAGGGCGGGGGGAAAGCCTGAGCCCTCAAGGGCCAAGTCCAACAACTAATGGGTAGCTAGAGGAGGAGCTGGGGGTGGGGACTCAGAAGGGGTGTGGCCTGTGAAACCTGGAGCGGATCTCAGGAGGGATAGGGTTTCTTTCTCCAATCAGAGCTTTACTACACCAATCCAATTATGTCCATTGGTCAGATTTCCCATCACTCATTCATTGAGCAGGGTCAATGCCTAGAACCAAGGGGGCAGGGCAAACTTGTTCTGTGAGATCCTACTGGTTGCTGATACTTGATTGGCTGAGCATGGCTGGGGCAGGGGTTGCCCTGGTAACGGCGCCTGCACTGGGAGCTGGAGGCCAAAGGGGTCAGAGCTGGAAGGGGCCGGGGAATAGAGGGCATGGGTGGAATAAGGTGCCAGGTGCTATGGGGGGCACTGGGAGTATAGTAGACAGAGGGGAGGGGGTGGGGGCACCAGGCACTATGGGGATGCGCTGGGAGTGGAGCGGGTGGGGCACCAGGGGCTATGGGGATGCGCTGGGAGTGGAGGGGGTGGGAGCATCAGGCGCTATGGGGATGCGCTGGGAGTGGAGGGGGTGGGGGCACCAGGCACTATGGGGATGCACTGGGAGTGGAGGGGGTGGGGGCACCAGGCGCTATGGGGATGTGCTGGGAGGGGATGGGGCACCAAGAGCTATAGGGATGCACTGGGAGGGGGCAGGGACACCAGGAGCTATGGGCCTCTGCAGAGAGCAAACAGCCCTTTTCCACCCCCTGGGACAGTGCTGCAAGGGGGAAACTGAGGCACGCAATGTTCATAGAAAATATGTACAGAAAATTCCCACTCTGCCAGAATTAATAACTCATTTCACGCAGGGCAGCAACGCTCCAGTGAGTTACTATGGCTACTGGTCACTGCTGACTTCAGCCAGCTTCCAGCTGAGGAGCCCAGGGATTACTGCGTTGGCCTAGAGACCCATTGGGTCCATTGCCCGTCCTCTGACAGTGGCCGGTGCCAGATGCTGCAAAAAACCCCATAGTGGGAAATTACTTAGAGGAAGAATCTCTGTGCCTCAGTCCCCAGCCCAGCCTGGGCTATTGCTTCTTGAAGTTGACACAGATCAGAGCTGAGCCGGCAGCTCCTGTTCCCTGAACAGCAAGTTAGGAGCCTCTGGGGCACCTGTGCCAATCGGTCCCTCCCCTACCTCCCTATGCTGCTTCTCAGAGGTGCTAAGGGCGGGTTGCTTTGTGTTTAGGAAAGTCGACCCCCCCCCACCCCTTGCTCCTGTTCCTCCTGGGAAGTCTCCTCTTGGAGCAGGAAGCACGTCACACTGGACAACCCACCCCCGCTGTCCCGGTGAGAAGAGACCATGGTAGCTCTGCCATTAGACCTCGTACCAGCCCCAGGAGCACCAGACTGTCCAGGGCAGAATGAGGCAACCCTCCTGCCCCAGCCAGGCTCTAACACAGATCACGCCGATGCCGCCCCCTCCCTCCCCATGTCCTGCTCCGAGGAGGACCACTCCTCCCTGCAGTCCTCGTCTTCCAGCCCTGCTGGGATGCCCGCTCTCAGGAGCGATCACTCCAGCCTCAGCCAGAGCGAGACAACAGATCAAGGCTCCCTGAGCGAGGACAGCATGAGTCTGGAAGCAGCAGAAAGCCCTAGGCCAGTGGGCTTGAGTCAGAGCCCCCCATCACAGGAGGCAGCCAGAGAGCCCTGGCATCCTCTGCCACAAGCCTCCAAGGGCAGAGATGGGAGCCGTGTCCTACCTCACGTCTCTGAGGCGGCTTCTCTCACCCCCGGGCTGGAGTGCGCCTGGTCCACTCCCAGTTTCTCTCTGACACCGGAGGTCGGGTGTCTCCGGTCAGCCTCACACCTCCAAGACGGGGAGCTAGGATGTGCCTCCCGGCATGTCCAAGCCTCTGGCTCTATCCACCTGAAGCAGGAGAAGCAGAAGAGAGAGGGCAGCAGCAGTGAGTGCATTGGGAGGCAGCTGTCTCGCATGGAGGACAGGCTGAGAGCCATGCAGCAGCTGCAGGGGCGTGTGCAGTGGGACCTGGTGCAGGCTGTACAGCTCGTGCATTCGGAACTGGCCACTGTCAACTGGCACCTGAGCAGGCTGGTGCAGCTCTATGAACATCAGGCTGCAGCAACTCAGGCACTGCAAGGGCAGGGGGCCACTGTGCCAGAGCGGAGACACCCTTGGAAAGCAGCCAAGCAGCCCCAGAGCCCCCCCTCTTCACAGGGCCCTTTCCAAAGCACCCCAGCTGGGAGAGGTGGGGTGTGAAGTGGGAGCGTGCATCCAGGCCCTGGGAGTGCTCTGGAGGCAGTGCTGGCACCTTTGGACAGGATTATTAAACAATAAAGGATTCAGTTCCAGCAACTGATACCCACAGGGCACTGTCTGCTGCTCACTTGTATAAGGAGATACATCAGCCACAAATGTCGGGGCAAAGCGACAGTTCTTGGAACACCGCTCACTCGGTCACATTGCCTAGGGAGAGTGGGGCTGGGACTCCGGGGAGCACCATCAGTACCTGGTTCTGTCACCGCCTTCCCTGTAACCTTGGGGG